TTTGCATTCTAAACCACAAGTTAAATAAATCATACTTTAAATAATATAATTTATGCAATATCATTATTTTAAATTTTAATTTCAAGATTTTTCTTTTACCTTTTTTTTTTAACAGTTTACAATTTTGAGGGATTGAGAGAAAATAAAATTTTCAAGGCATTAATAAAACTTAAAACCCAATCAACTAATCCAAGCACCTTAAGACTTGCGAATAAACCACTTTGCCCTAAGGACGCGGTCTCTCTCTCTTTTTCTCCTAGAACTCTCTAGCATCTGCCTAAAAACTTCTCCAGTTTTCATCCCATTTTTAGGTGCTCGAAAGCCTTCAAGCTTCTCGAGCTTTTGATGTGTGAGCAGCTGGAGGGCTTCTTAAGCATGGTGGACCCGGTCAACTGTGCTCCTATGTCTGGTGACCACTTTAGATGATCTGCTGGTTCTTTTGTGGCCTTGTTGATGGCCTTTGTTCTCTTTTCTTTCTATTTCTTGTTTTTTTGTTTTGGTTTGCTCAAATTTGATAACCAACAAGCCAATCATGAAGAATTCAGGGGATGCTTGCCACTTATTCTAATGATCCAACCATGACAATTGGAAGACAAACATAATTTATGCAAAAGTAGATGAAAATGTGTCCAATTCTCTGGAACGATCGACCAAAAAAATTTGTCAAAATCCATTTCCTTAGTAATTGTTCGTGTAAAATGCTCACTACCTCTTCTTTATCTGTCTTAGGTTAAACTTGATCTACTTTTTATTTTCTCTCCGATTATGCTTTATTTATTTGTAATTTCCTCTTATCAATAAGATCAAAATTTCTTACACAAATGCCGTACGAATTTGATGAAATATTATGCTTTTCACTTAGTTGGAAAAAAAAAAAAACACACTTTGCCCCAAAAGCCCGATTCAAGATTTTTCTTTTACTTTTGTTTTGAAACAAGGAGCCTGTAAACTTCTTTATACTTGAACTTTTATTGAACATCTTGGGACTCTATTGTTCCTTTTTCTGATTTCCTTCCAGAGTTGTTATACAGTTAAATTAG